CTGCCTTTCAAATAAATGAAAATAAATCTTTTTTTAAAAATACAGTATATTTCCATGATAAATGCAAATTAGATATAAAAGGAATGTATCTCAACATAATAAAGGCCATTTATGATAAGCCCACAACTAACAGTGGGCTCAACAGTGAAAAATTGCATGTTTTTCCCTAAGATTAGGAATAAGACAATAAAGCCCACTCTCGCCACTTCTAATTAACATACTAGATGTCCTAACCAAACAATTAGGCAAGAAAAAGAAGTAAAAGGATCAAACTAGGAAAGGAAGAAGTAAAATTGTCTCTGCTTACAGATGACATGGTCATATATGTAGGAAACGCAAAGACTGCACTAAAAACTTTTAGAATTAATTTAGTAAAGTTGTAGGATACAAAGTCATACATAAAATCAGTTGCATTTCTATACACTAATCCGAAAATAATGAAAACAACTCCATTTATAATAGTACCAAAAACAATAAAATACTTAGGAATAAATTTAATCAAAGAGGTGAAAGATCTATACACTGAAAACTCTAAGACATTGATGAAAGAAATTGAAGAAGACATAAGTTAATAGCAAAAACAGTAAATCTGTTCAAATAGACATTCTTCCAAAGACATACAAATAGCCAACAGCTACATGAAAAGATGCTCATCATCGCTAATTATCAGAGAAATGCAAATCTAAACCACAGTGAGACGTCAGCTCACTCATATCAAGATGGCTATTATGAAAAAGACAAAAGGGAAATGTTGATGAGGATATGCTGGTGGGAATATAAATTGGTACTGTCATTATGGAAGACAGTATGGAAGTTCCTCAAAAATTTAAAAATAAAACTACTGGGGCTGGTGTTGTGGCATACCAGGTTAAACTGCCTGTGACATTGGCATCAAGGCACTGGTTAGACTCCCGTCTTCTCTACTTCTGATCTAGCTCCCTGCTAAAGCTCCTGGGAAAGCAGCGGAAGATGGCTCAAGTGCCTGGGCCCCTGCCACCCACATGGAAGACCCGAGATGGAGTTCCAGGCTCCTGCTTCTGCCTAGCTAAGCCTCAGCTGCTGCAGCCATTTGGGGAGTGCACCAGGGAATATAAGATATCTCTGAAGATCTCTCCTACCTCTACCCCTCCCCCACCCTCTCCTATTCCCTCTCCCTCTCCCTGTAACTCTCTGTAACTGCCTTTCAAGTAAATAAATAAATCTAGAAAGAAAGAAAGAAAGAAAGAAAGAAAGAAAGAAAGAAAGAAAGAAAGAAAGAAAGAAAGAAAGAAAGAAAGAAAGAGAAAGACTACCAGCAATCCGATTTCTGGGTATGTGCCTGATGAAAATGCAATCAGTAGCTCCGAGATACTCGCTGTCATGTTCACTGCAGTGTTATTCAACAGCAGTCAACACACAGAAACTACCTAAGTGTCTGTCCATCAGTGGAAGAATGGATAAAGACATTGTGAGGACCATCTTCCTATGGATG